AGATAATATTAGTAATATCGATTACTAATATTAAGCTATTCCTAATAAGGAAATACCTTATATAAACTTATTAGATATAGTAGAGGTTAAGTTTACAACTATGAGTATATTTAGGCTTATACTAGATAATCTAATAAAGAACTTCGGCTATATATCTATTCTATATCTAGCCTTTAGTATAAGTGGGTTATATAGACTATAGGCCGGCTAATTACTCGCGGTAGTTACTATATTTAAGTAGCGGGCGGGTCTATAGAACTACTAGATCTTAGTAGATAGCCTAGGGCTAGGAAAGACTATTATACTTATAACGTTTATCTATCTTATATTCTATTAGGACTTTCTACGTAATAATATAGAACTATACCTAGAAAAGTATCTACTACCGACTTAAGACCTAGGTATAGATAGAAAGTGCCTAATATAATCTCTATATCCGATTAAATATCCGTATAGCTAGACTAATAAATTTAGCGAGATGCCCCGCCTCTAAGGACTATTTATACTATACTATCTAAGGAACCTCCTAGTATCGTATTAGCTATAGCACTTTAACTAGATATACTATAATATAGATAGTATATTCGTCGATAAAATCGATAAATAGAATCTAATAAAGATAGTAGTACGGTTAGCGTACTTAAAAACCCTTCTTAACGCCCCTAATATCTAATAACTCTTATCTATAGACGTATACTATCTAGCTAAGAGGTACTCTAACCCCGAATAGGAATATTATAATAATATTAGTAATCCTATAAAATACGAGACTAGCGAGGAGTATATTACTAAGAAGTAGTTAATTCGCGTTAATAAGACCGCTACTATTAAATTCCCGTTATAATACGTAAAGAATAATATAGTCTATACTACCGTCTAATTAGATATCGCACGATAGCTTAATAAGTACCCTAAGGACGTCTCCTAATGGATACTTACATATCTACCACTCCTCTAGTACTAGTGGACCCGGAAATATATGCCGGAAGAGACCCGGTATACGCCAGTAGTAACCCGATATATACCGGAAGAATCTCGGGAGAACCCCGATTATTAGTCGGGGGCAGCCCTTAACTAATAACCTCCGCATCTACACGTGCTACCTAAGGGTAAAATAACGGTAATATAGGCTATAGGCTAATAGGCGTACTCTATAGCTATATACTTAAGACGAAATAGAGGTTTAACGAGATGTAGTTATAGACATAAGGAAGTTTTTCCCTATAGGGTTTCTTCTTACATAGTGGCTTAGACTAGAGGAGGCATAGGCCTATAGAGTACTACTCTACCTAGTTATATAATATTATTATTATTATTATTATTATACTACCGTCTAAAGTATAGAGACCTAGTATATTATAAACTTCGCTAGACGCGTAGTTCTAAAAGAGAAGAAGGTGAAAAAATTTAGCGCTAATATTATTTAAACCTATAATATAGTATTTATTAGTATATTTATAGTAGACGAGTTCTATATCTTAAAAAAACCTATAATAAAATAGTATAGGTATACGCGACTTAATCCCTTTATATTTAGTATATAGATTAGTATAACGCCCCTCTTAAATAGTCTATTAGATATTCTATCGGCTATTAAAACGGGTATCCTAGATTAGTTATCTAACTACGTTAATAATAATACTACTAAATTAGTATTTAAGAGTATATAGAAGGAATCTATAAGAAAGATAGTTATAATATAGTTAAATAAACTCCTCTCTTAAATAAAAAATAAGCCGGTAGAGATAATAGCTAGTATAGTTAGTATAGTATTAGGAACCACGGATAGTAAGCGTATACTATATATAGTAGCTAATTAGTATTTACTATTTATTCTATAAAGGGGATAACTAAGTAAGTAGTTTAATAGAAAGAACTATCTATCTATAATAGTAACCCTAGTAGTAGATATTATATATATTACCGCTATAGATATAGAGAAGTAGATTATATAGTTATATAAGAATAAAGACCGAAGGCTCCTTAAATAAGCTATCGCCTAGGGTAAATTAAATAGGCTTAGGTATAACACGTACTACTATAAGGCTAGGCTAGCTACTATATATATACTACTTATATACCTTACTAATAAAAGGATAAGTAAGGAATATATTAAAATTAGGCTTATACGTCCGTTAATAGATAATAATAGTATACTAGATAGGGTAATCGTTAATTCTATACACGAATTACTCCCCTAGCTAGATAATAGTATACAAAAGAATATAATCTTACTAGCTTTAAAAGAAGTTACTTTAAAGGTAAACTAGCTCTATAAGCTTATTAATAAAAAGGTTTATAATAAAAATACTAAACGCGCGCGTCGAACGTTTGCTAACTAACTAGAGAAAATTATAATTATATCTACTATACTAGTAACTATAATATTTCTATATATAGTAAGTATTTATATTAGTACTTACTAGTAATATAATTTACTAATATATATATAGGTACTACGTTTATACGTAAAATTAAAAATATTAGTATATTTACTAGCCGGTCTAAGTATATCTAGTATAAATAAGGTATACTAAGATTTTAGATTAAATAAGTTAGATTCTCTATATATTTTACTAGCCTTAGCTTCGTAAGTCTATAAGGGATAAGACCTAATAGTCGCTAGTTATATTATATTAGTAGACTAATATCTATATAAGGAGACGTAGCCGTAGATAAGTATAAGATATTATCGCTATAGATAATATTAGCCTATAGTATATATATATATACTTTAGTTTTAGACTATTTAGGGGTTAAGAGTAGACTTACTATATTAGGCTAGGTAATTAAAAGTATAAGGAAATAAGCCTTAGACCTAGAAAAAGGAGATATATCTATAGTAGCAACAACTATACCCGATATACTAGTATTCGGTATATACTTTAGTAATCCTATAGAGATATAGAAGTAAGTAAGGTAGTTAGTTAAGTAGCTTCTAAGAGACTAGATAGTATAGTAGTATAAATATAAACCGCTATTTACTTATAATTATATATCTATATATATCTATACGTAAAGAGAAATAAGATATTTATTCTATGCCGGTATATAGTAGGATATTACTATATATACTAGTATATAATAGAATATTCTAATATACGCTAGTATATTATAGGATATTTCTAGATACTTAAAATATAGTTATAATATAAAGTAGTATTACTATTATATACCGGTATATAGTAGGACGTTACTATATATACTAGTATATAACGGGATATTCTAATATACGCTAGTATATAATAGGATTAAACGTTTTCTTAACGTTTAATAGAACGATTCTAGAAGAACCGGGATAGCTCTAGAAGAACTAGGATAACTCTAGAAGGACTAGAATAACTTAAGAAGTACCGGGACGACTCCGGGAGGAATGGGATAACTCTAGAAGTACCGGGATCTATTTAGGATAACTTTAGAAGTACCGGAAGACCTAGAAGTACTAGAAGCACCGTATCTTTTCTAATGATCTTTTAATATATAAAGAATATTATCTAAAGGTAGAAGAAAGAAAGGTCTACTATATTTTATTATAGCTATATAGTTATAGAGAGCTTAGAATAGTACTATTTAATTTAAGTTCCTAGTCTAATTAATTTTAAACCTCTACTCTCTATTATATATTAACTTTCTAGTATTAAATTTAAAGACTATAATTAAATATACTAAAGATATAATTTAGAATAATAAGATATATATAGTTATAGAGATACTTTAGATAAAGATATTACTTTAGAAAAGAGACTTCTATTAATATAGATAGAGTAGATAGAGTAGATAGAGAAGCTAAAATACTAGATACTATTTATTCTATAAGAGTTATTAGTATATAGTAAATAAGTAGTACTAGTAAGCTAATTAGTATTAAGAAAATAACTAGTACTAATTATTCTATAAGTATAAATAGTATATTTAGTATAAATAGAATATTTAGTATAACTAGTACGTTTAGTATAAACGGGATATTTAGTATAACTAGTATATTTAGTATAAATAGAACGTTTAGTATAAATAGAATATTTAGTAAAAATAGAATATTTAGTATAAGTAGAATACTTAGTATAAATTATATAAAGCTATTCTATTAGAATAGATAGTAAGTAGATCTATCTAATAAATATAATAGAATAAAAGAATACTTAGAGAGTACTTAGAAGCGCTATATCTTTTCTAATAACCCTTATAAGAAAGGTTTATTATATAAGGTTTAAATTAGTTAAAAACACGTATAATTAGTATTATTTAGAAGTCTATAAGGTTAAAAATAGTTAAAAACACGTGTAATTAGTAAAAAACACGTGTATAAGTATTGTTTTAAAGTCTATAAGGTTAAAATTAGTTAGAATTATATATAATAAAGAGAGAGAGAGAGAGAAAGAGAGAAAGAGAGAGAGAGAGAAAGAGAGAGAGAGAGAAAGAGAGAGAGAGAGA